TGCTGCAACATCCTCCTATTTCTCCTCATCTCAGTTCCTCCTGTGCTGATTTCACGCTTCCTGCCCTCCACCTCCTCCTCTCATATCTCTTTCCTCTCTCCATTCCCCATCCAATCTGTGTCCCTGTGTTCTTTCCCTTCTTGCTCTCCCTCAATCCTACTTACTCACCATCTCCTGTAACTACCCCACATTCCACAATTTATTATTTTTAAATGGGAGTCAAAAGTGTCTAAGGGAAAGATTTGTACAGGTATTCAGACACCTAAACATTTATAAGTGCGCAGTAGTATTTTCAAAAGCATCCAGGTGCCTAACACCCATTGATTTCAATGGGAGAAAGGTGAGAGGGAGGGATAGATAGAAGTATTAAATCCTCTACCCTCCCTCTCATTTTAGATTGTAAGCTCTTTGGGGCAAGAACTGTCCGTGTCTTTCTTTTTGTTTAGAACAATACTGAGCACAACAGACCCTAATCCTAATTGGGGTCTTTGAGTGTTTTCACAATATAAACAGTAAATAAAACCAATAATGAATAATAAGATATCAGGATTTCATTTGTTCCAAGATGCTAACATTTTTTATGGAACTGATATCCTCAGAAGTTTATCTAAAATATTATTGTGTTTTTGAGAAATAAGCTAAGCTTCTCAAGTAATCATCACCAAATCCGGTACATGGGCAGATCTATTTATTTCAGTCCATTAGCCTAACGATTCCACATCTGAAGTGGAAAGTTATTCCACCTTAAGAGTGAGAAACTTTTTTGCCTCTATTGAGCTTTCTTTTTCACCCATGCCAGGATGATGAAAGACCTTCCAGAAGAGGTCTGTTGGATCAAACCTTCTCTTTTTAGTCCAAATTCAGAACAGGTTAAGGTAATAGTTGATACTTCAATAGGTTTGTCCGCTATAGTTTGTTTTTATCTCAATGTAGAACAGCATCGCTTCATTTTGTATGGCATCTTCTTGATGTGTTTTGTGTAAATTGTTAATTCATGATGACATAAGGCAGATAAATAAATACTATAACCAGCACATGCTCTAGCCTGGTACAACCATTCCATTAATAATAAAGAAAAAACATACAATATCAAAAAGTAATATAATTTAATTTCCTGAGGCCTACAGCTAATGTTCGTTCTATTAAGATATTTAATTTTTAAAATTGTTGTTATTGTGGTACTCAGGACTGGATTAACTCTCCTGTGGGCCCAGGGCTATTAGATTTTGTGGGGCCCCTGTATGCAAGTCTTTTTCCTGGGAGAGAGTTTGGTGCAGGAGGGGGATTCTGATCTGGGGCAGGAGATTGGGGTGGAGGAGGGGGTGCGAGGTGTAGGCTCTGGCCGGGAGGCGCTTACGACAGGCTGCTCCTGGCCAGCGGCACAACAGGGCTCAGGCAGGTTGCCTACCTGCCATAGCCCCACATTGCTCCTGGAAGCGGCTGCCTGCTAGCACATCTCTGCAGCTCCTGGGGGCAGAGGGACAGCCAGGGACCGTAGAGACGTGCTAGCACCCAGCCACTTCCAAGAGCGGTGTGGGGCCATGGCATGCAAGCAACCTACCTGAGCGCCCCGCTGTGCCACGGGACTTTTAGCGGCCCAGAATTGGGGATTGCTGCCTGTGATTTATTTTTGCAGGGCCCCCCCTTGAGCCGGGATTCTGGGCTGCAGCCCCTAAAGCCCCTGCCTTAATCCAGTTCTGGTGGTACTTAGAAATGAATGAAAATGACAGGGAGTAACATGGCATATTAGTTATTTTTTCTGCTTCTCCAAGTCTCCTTCATCTTCAGACTCACTATCATTAATGTTCACAGTAACATAGCTGGCATGCCGAATTTATTAATTTTCCCTTAAAGCCCCAGCTACTTATATCCATGATCACCAAGCATGACTCTCCAAGATACATGACTTTAAACAGGAGCTAGCCTCTGACTCATACAGCCTAAGCACAGAATTTGCTGTCTACGCTACAGTTAAACTTTCTTCTGTTTAATATAAAGTCACAAACTGTGAACATGTAATTCTTAAGGAGTCTTTCAAGGAATAAACATGATGTTAGGAGCTGGATGTCAAATCATAATTAGTTTATAGCTCCCTACAATTTAGTTTAATAATAAAGTGGCTCTCTAGATTCTAAAGCTCAAATATCACTTTTGTTTAAGATAGACAAGGTGGGTGAGGTAATCTCTTTTATTGGACCAACTTCTGTTGGTGACAGAGACCAGCTTTCACGCCTCACAGAGCTCTTCTTCAGATCTGAGAAAAGTACTTCCAGAGTCGCAGCAAAACACAAGGTGGGACAGATTGTTTAGCATAAGCAATTATCACATACTGTAAGGGATCATTTATGGTAAAGTGGTTCATTTACACCTCTACAGTTAGGACAAATAGAGGGGGTTAGTGGGTTACAAATTGTAAATCCGGTGTCTCTGTTCAGTCCATGATTTTTAATGTTTAGCAGAGTTATGAATTTAAGATCCGAGGTTGATCTTTTGAAAGCACTGTGCAAGTTTCTTTTGAGAATGAGGACTGGTAGGTCAGATATAGAGGGATAGCTTTGTAAAAAGTGTTCACACACACGTTAGGGTGTTTTTGTCTTCTATTATTTCCCTGTGTGAGTTCATTCAAGAGCATAATGATTATCTGGTTTCATCCAGATAGTTACTGTTGGGGCATTTAGCATACTGGATGAGGTATACCACATGTTGTGATAGGCTTGTGTAAGACCCATGGATCTTGAAAGGTGTGTTGTGGAGGGGATTGACCACTGTAGCAGTGGAGATGTGTCTGCAGTTTGTAGTTTGTACAGGGTCTGGTGCTTCTGTGAGTTGGTGTGTCCTACTCTGAGGGCAGTTTGCGTCTGCTGTTGAGCTTGGAGAGGTTGGGGGTTGTTTGAAGGCCAGAAATGGGAATTCAGGAAATATTTCTTTCAGGATGGGGTCCCCATCAAGTATGGGCTGTATTTGTTTCATGATACCCCATATGGGTGTGCGGTTTTATTTCTGAATTGAAGCTGGTTTTCTCGGGGTATTTGGGTGGCCCACTCCATGATGCGATCTACTTCTCTGGTGGAAACAACGAGTGACCTTGTTTGGTGAAGGTGGTTTTAAGTATGTTAAAGTGTATATCTTGGACTTCCAAGGCACTCAGATACCACAGAGTATACTCCCCATTCAATTAAATGGAACAACAATGGAGTGTGACAGCAGAGTTTAATACTACTTTATTATGTTTGTGATGTTGATGACTTTTTAAATATAAATGTTTTCAAAGTTTCAGTGGTCTATTTGCAAATAATGCATTAACATAATAACCAAATCAATCCTTTTGGTTCTTGGTACATAACAGACTTTAAAGGTAGGCATACTATGATCAGGCAGAGGATCCAGACAGTAAACTGTTACAACAAATGAAAGTCTGTTATAAAGGGTAGCTTTTACTTAAGTGAAATATATATGATGAGCTGACCAAAAGACTTCCTAAACACTTAGTGCGATTCAAAAATAGATTGCCACCCATTATAGTGGGGGTTTATTATATAAATTAGATTGTAATGAAACTGACAGAGAATATAGCACTCCAGTTAAACTCAATGACATTTCGTAGTTATTTTAGTATCAGCTGATGGCAATTTGATCTACAACGCTAAGATACAACACAGTATATCTATTTCAATTCCTTTTCAACTCCCCCTCCCACCACACACACACACACACACACACACACACACAAAAGCTCAAACTGATTTAAGTGCATGTGAAAAAAGCAGATACAATCAGTGGGGAAAAGGTCTTAAAATATGACATTCAGCTTTGCTTATATGGATCTGAATGTATCGTAAACATGAGCCAGACTAAAATTGTTAATTTGGTTTTTAAAAGATATTTTGCTCTGCTTTGGAGTGTGGGAGTAATCACACTTCTCTGTGATATACTAGTACAGATACACCTCTACCTCGATATAACGCTGTCCTCGGGAGCCAAAAAAATCTTACTGCTTTATAGGTGAAACCACATTATATCGAACTTGCTTTGTTCCGCCGGAGTGTGCAGCCCCCGCCCCTCCCGGAGCATTGCTTTACCGCGTTATATCAGAATTCGTGTTATATCGGGTCACGTTATATCGGGATAGAGGTATGTTTATACAGCAGGATTGCTTAGGCTAGATACAGCATTGTGGTCTCTGAGATTTCAAAAACCTAAATTCACTTTCTGATAGGAATTTTTTCCCAAGCATTTTCTAAAGAGGGTCATATGCAAAAATCTAACAGTCATTATAGGGATTTTTATCACAGAACTGTCACAGGTCAATGTTTAGAGAGGAATGAACATGCTCCTCTCTGTTTAATGAAACAGAAGCAGAAGAATCAGTTAGTGGTAACACTTTTTCTTCTTGTGTACATATACAATATTTGAGGAGGATCTGTTACTTAGATCCTCCTCAAATATTCATTCTGGAAGAATAATAACCAGGGAATACCTCAAAACTAATTTAAAACTAACATGATAAATTTATAACTGGGAAAAAAAATGCCCTTTTTTCATGAAAATAAACTTTCATTACTGTAAAATCCTTTATGAAAATTAAACAAGTTTATGATATTTCAGAAACAGTTCTATGCCACATGATATAAGCGTTAAAATAATGAATCTATTTTCCCAGAAATCAGCATCAAAATCAATCTAAGACTTTCCAGCATTTAATTACATCTGGGCTTCACTATGCTACCAGTTCAAGCCCTTCTACACAATTTAACAAAGTTAGAGTGGTACTGATTTCAAATTCTAGAACATTTAACCAAGCTAATCAAATATATAAAATTAATTGCACAAAAGAGATTTTGAACCTCATCCTCAGAGCTATAAATTCAGCTTCCTCACATTTCTCATATTTTAATAAACCAAACTAGCTGATACAGTAATTAGATGCACAAATCTATCTTAATAAATTGAACATCAAAGAGGAACAAAATTGTGTACAAAAGGTAGCTGTAGAATATTACCTTACAGATGTAATTATTTGCCTCTTTACATTTTCTTATTAAAAAAGGTAAGTTGGTAAAACTCTCCCTCTCACGTTGTAATCCTGCTGACAAAACTGTGTGCTGCTGAACCCTGCTGTTGCTGGACTGTGTGCAGAAACATGTATAAAAAGAGGACAGTTTTAAACAGCCAATCACATTGTGTTTGGACCTCCCAGGCTTCACTGTGTGATCAGCACAGGCTTTGTGTCAATACAATAGGGGTTAAACATTTCCCTGTATTTATTTAAAAGCAAGCAAAAATCTGCTTAGTTGCTTGAACCTTTAAAATGATGTAAAATGATGTGCATTGCTTCGGGGCGGGTGGAGGGAAGGTTAAACAGTAACTGACTTTCTATCTAAAAAAATAGAATCTCTCTAGCTCCTCCTGCTTTTACACAGTACATAAATACTAAAACCAGTTAAGTCAACAAGCATTTCCATCCAGATCTTCCCCCATCCAGTATTTTCCCCTAAGCAACTGATGGTGATTTGCTTCTCTTAACTCAGAGACCTGCTTTCACTTTGCCCTTGCATTCTGCTGTATGAATTACCAAATGGAGTAGCTCTCAATTTTCTGTTCACCATGCCTAAGATGTGGATCCTTGCAAAGCCTTCTATTTATGACAAATGGGATTCCAGTGCCAGAAAGCAAATTTATCCATACTGAAAAATAAACTAAGAAAGTTCAGAAAAGCTGACTGCACCATACGTAGTGTTGGCAGCCATGGTTTGTCACTTCTCATGAATCCCTGAATCACCTTTGCTTTTCAAGCAATTACCTTGAGGAAACGTAGGTACAGAACAGCGATTCTTTCTCAAGCTTTATAATTCCTTAGAAACATGAAACATCTGAGATGTTGGTTTAAATACCATTCATCTGTTTTCTGAAACAGTACACAATGCAAGCTGCAGAGAATTTCAGTTAAAAACATCATGGCTTTTGCTATTATTTTACAAGTAAAAGTATAAAAATCCTGTCAACATTAGTTAAAGTGTTTGTTTGCACCAATAACTATTTATCAATTCCCCTGAAACCCATTTAGCTCTCAAGACCTGTTCAGAATAATGCTTTTCTTCACAAACGCACAACTAACATGTAATATAATCTACTTCAAAGTATATTGTCAGTGTGGTTCAACAGTAACCACAGTCACATGACCTCTTAAACTTAACAGAGTCAGAGTATCTTAGCTGTGCCCCCTCTGCACATATGTTGCACTAGTACTAAAGCTATGACTTATTTAGCTGAAAAATATAAAACATTTTAAAAATGGAAATTAAAAGTTAACAGCCAAGTTTTGTCTGTCTTTTATCCAAATACTTATCTTTAAAACAACATGATGATTATGCAAAAATCCTATCATTCAAAGTTATTCCTTTTTAATTAAACGTATGTGGCTGTGTGAGAGTTTTAATGGTACTTTCTGACATGAAACTGTAAATAATTAGCAATCTATTACACTACAAATGTGGTACAATATTATTCCATTATTCACATTTAGTATCATTTAATACATGCAAAACTCAATTCTCAAAATTATTATTTTCATAGCTTTACTCATTCCTTTTAAAGTGAAATCCCAAATGAAAGAACTAATCTCCTCTCCAAATTTAACCATTTGATTCCCTCTACATTTGATAGTATCCAGAGGTATAAGAATCAGTCATATGATGTTAAGAAATAAATGGTATTTTAACTAAAAGTGCAAGGACTTTTAAAAATTGTATTTTAAACAATGATTGTTTTCTGTATTTTAGAGCTGAATGGAAAAGGGACAGGTCTGATTTTGTAGCTTGATTGACCAAGCCTAATCAGAATTATTTCTGCACACTGCTTCACTACAGCAGTAGACCCATTAAGCACTAAATGCTTCTGGAGGCCCATTCCCTTCCAACCTCCCACTGTGACACGTTACTTTTCAAACAGTAGCTACACAGTGGGCTACTCAAAACATTCAAAAAATGGAGGCGCTATATTTAACAGACATTTGAAAACCCACAGTAAAATCTGTCACTTGATTGCCAGGATGGCAGCTATCATAATAAAACAGATTCTTTGTGACGGAGAGTTACAAAAGAGTCCTTTGAACTAATTCTCTTACCTTGCAATACATTTTTATTAGGAAAAGGTTTTTAGTCATGACATCTATTACTTCTTCAACCAAAGCACTCTATGTATATCTCTGAAAATGTTCATTGTGATATGCTTATTTTTAAGTCATCAGAACATCCTCTGTGGCTTCCTATTTTACAAATCTTTGCAGCCTGGGAATTTTTAGTAGCTGATATGGCCATTAGAAATGCCCTATTTCATTGCATACATACCAGTAATGCTACAGTACTTAGCAATTATTTCATATAATGAATTATTTAGAATAATTCTAATATAGCTGATCAACAGAACTTGCACACATTGTACAATTTTTCAGTTTATTAAAATATTTTATTCATTCTCTTTGCTTTAAATAGTGTATGTGTGTGTGTGTATATATATATATATATATATACACACATATATATGTATGTATGCCCATAGCTACACTAAAATGTTATCAGTCATGCTTTCTACTACTAGGAATAACATTCAAACAAAAAGATTTTTCTACCAAACTGTAATGCTCAATGACTCCAGAGTTTAAAATTTTCTAGTTGTGTCACACTGTAGATCTATGATTCTGTAAAACCAAGAAACCAAGTATCTTGCAGATCAGTATAAGCCTGGATTTTATAGATATGGGAAATAAGATTTGAGGTGCACTTTCAAACAAAATATGGGTGTTCACAGTTGTATGGGATTTAGATAAGATGCATTTAATACAACTATCTGATACAGACTGGGAAAAACTTTTTTTGGGGGGGGGGGGCCATTGTGTGGGGGAAAGAAAGACCAATTGAGGAGTTAGCATAGAAGACCAGAACTGGGAAACATTAGAATTGGGGAAAGGAGGTGGGTGAGAGGATAGAAGGATCTCTTGAGGGGCCAAGGAGGGAGACTATGACTGTGAGCCAGAGCTGGCAGGGAAAGTAGGTAGAAAGGAGGGGCAGGCAATTAGAGATGGGGTTTAGGGGAGGAGAGAAAGAACAACCAATGAGCCAGGATGGAGGGAACTGAGACTGGTTGTGCAATAAGAATGAGACTGGGACTGACTGTGTAGCCCAGGACTGGAAGTTGGGGTTACAGTTTGGACCGGATGAGGCAAAAAGGGTAAAGCTGTAGAGCGGGGACAATGAGCGGAGGAGTTTATGCCCACAGAGCACATACCCCTCCAGAGCTTGAAATGGAACAAAAAATTCCTATTTCACCATTCCTCTGCTGTCTTGAAATAGCTTCACATACGTCCACAGGGAAGATGACAATCTTCTACTGCTATTCGTTACTCCATTAGCTCAAGTGACAGAGGTCTATGTAGTAGATCTAAAGGCCCCAACCCTGTTGATGACCCATTCCTGGGTGGCGATGTGATTGCTGGGTTTTTTTTGCAATTAGCTTTATTAAAAACTTAGTAAATCGTGTATGTGCACACACATGTACACAGAACTATGTTGAAAGAACATTATTAAGATTGTAAAGTCAAGCACTCAAAAGTTAGGAAATGCCAGAATTAAGGCTGTCTGTGCAACCTTAATGCAGAGTTCCTATGTGATGCAGGGCAAGTCACTGGGAAATCAAACTTTTTACAAATGGTCACCAATTGTGTGTTCCTCATTTTCTTGATGTCTGACGTAAGACCTCAGATTTAATTTTCAGACATGCTAAGCACTCACAGCTGCAACTGAAGTCAATGGGAGCTGTGATTTGAAAATATAAAGTGCTACGTAATGCTGTGTACTCTGAATCATCAGGTCCTAACTGTCCCAAATTCAGCACCCAGAATAAGTGGACATTCTGGACCTTAATCTCTCTATTTTTCATTTCCCCATCTGTAAAATGGGGATAATAATATCCCATCTCACAAGTGTGTTGTGAAAATAAATGGTTTGTGAAGCACTTGGATACTATAGGGATGAGTACCACAAAAAAGCCCTTGAGTAGAGCAATAATTCTGTTGTCAGAGCATGGTTTGAATTGCGTGCAGTAAGTAAGGCATGGGGCCACATATTAACTGAACACTATCCATTCTGTGCACTGAAAGAGGAGTCCTGTGGAAAAAAATAGTATGTGGATATGCAATTAAAGACTGTATCTTAATGCATATAAATAAGAGGGTTGAATTAAGATTGCATGGGCAACTTTAATACTGGCATTTCCTAATTTTTTTAGTGCTTGGCTTTGCAACCTTAATAATGTTATTTTAACGTAGTTTGTGTGTGTGTGTGTGTGTGTGTGTGTGTGTGTGTGTGTGTGTGTGTGTGTAGTA